GGAGGGGGGGGGGGGAGGGTGAGTTAAAAGAAAAGCCTTCAATTACATAAACAATGAGTTTTTCAAATAAACATGGATGCGTGACAATATTTGCACCATCAAAACTGTTTACAGAAAGACAGCTGTGGTGTCTTGTGCCTAGTTGGAGGATAAAGTTGCCCTGAAAAATAAGGATGCAAGGCACTGGGGTTTCTGAGCAATGAATGTTTATCAGAGATCTGTCTTCTATGACTGGCCTCACAACATTTCCTTGTGAAACTGAACACACTAAAAAAAACAGTACTAGTTCAAAGACAGACAACATATCAACTACCTAGGTTAATACTGACAATCAGAAAATACATGTCGGATTTACTTTAGCCATGTTATCATGCCCATAATCGTATTTAAATTGTTAAAACTGCAGTGAATTCAGTCAAGTGGACAAAGCAAGGAATTTTAATCATTTCATTAAATAAAGTCACACTGAGTGTGTTCCTGGAGAAAGATTTCAATGCATCTCCTTCAAACTAATGACACTATGGAACAACATGGATGTCGAATGGAGACGTGCAGAATTCCTGCAGCACTCCACAGCTCTAAATTTTAGTATCTCAATTTAGCCAACTGTTAAAAAAGTGATAGTTCTCTCTAAAAAAAAACATTTATTCACCCTCATGTCATTCCAAATCTGTGATACACCAAAAACTCTGAAAATAATACATTGACAAAGACAATGTTAAAGATATGTTGCATTCATATTCAGAGCAGCCTTTTCCTAGCTTGGGTTTCAGAGTAACACATCCACAGGAAGTTCATGTATACAGCATTCATACTGACAGGAAGTTCCCTCCCCTCATTCTCTCGATGCATTACCGCTTATTGTGAGGCGTGAACTCAACCAGTTTTTAGATAACAACTTTCTACACCTCTCAGATTTAAGAGCATCTTTCCTGAACCACTGAATGAACCCTTAGGGCCATAGCACTGGTCTGGAATGGACCCACTGAGAAGAGAAACAAGCCCTAGGAAGAACAGAGAATTACAAAATGTTATGAGAACGAGCCCTTGAGGGAAAACCACGACAAGGATACAAATGTCTGACAAGGGTGTTCACTCAGGTTAGTTTGCTTCAGAAGGATGAAAACAGACAGGAAGGACCTCAGACTGAACCAAAATCTATACAGCGAGAAACAATCCAGCGTATTGTTGAGCGAGAGAAAGCACAAGGGTCCGGAATGGGTGGGTGTCATTCTGCTGAAGGAAATCCACTGAAGACAAATGCAGGAAACATTTGAAACCTTTTTGAGAATGGCTATAAACATTACTGTTCAAGAGTCAGAAGCTTTGAAGAGGCCCTCTGAAGATCATAACATCACACGCACTCACTTTCAAGAAAAACAGCCCACCGATGGCAACAAATGCCAAAAAACCCTGTTCAAATTCATCAGTTCGATAAAATCTATAAACAAAACAAGTGAAAGGCTGGTGAAATGATCAAAATCATGAACATCATATGTGTTTGCAACCAAATGTTTGTTGGTTTTGACTACAACTGTGGACCTTCACTAGTCCAAGTCATGTATAGGTTAAGCTAGGATTAAAACCGGATCATAACAAGGTTAAACGGAGGGATTTTCTTCAGGACAAGCCAAGGAAGCCAAAGAGAAGTGGCACCAGGGAAACGCAGCAGTAGGCCACTGTGCCGTAGACCATAAACCGGTACGCCAGTTCCACGTGCGCGTGTTGTCTAGCCTTCCGCACATCATCCGAAGGCACGCCGAAGATCCTGCAGGCCAGTGGGATTGCCACTGCC